CGTCCTTCGCGTCCGACCTCGGCGCCGACTCCCTCGACGTCGTCGAGATGGCGCGGATTCCGGCGTCGTTTTGTCGCTTTCGTCGCCGCGCGGCGGCCGCCGAACCGCCGAATCTCACCGTCGCTCGCGCCGCAGGTCATGAAGATCGAGGAGGAGTTCGGCGTCGAGCTCCCCGACGAGCGCGCCGAGGAGGTCCAGAACCTCAGCGACGCCGTCCGCGTCGTCAACGACCTCCTGTAAACGCCCAGAACACCGAAGCCCAAGCCCTTCCCCCGAACCCGAGGCGCACCGTATTTAAATACCAGCGGTAAAACCCAGCTGTCAGACACGAGCGGTTACCGCGTCGCAGGCGGCGTGGCCCGCGTGCGGGAGCAGGAGGAACGCGTAGGACCGCGCGGGGAGCTCGACGGCGCCGGCCGCGGCGACGGCCGGCGGCAACGGCGGCGTCTCGGGCGTGAGCGCCTCGGGCAGCGGGGCGCCGTTCAGGAGGGCCGCGGGCGCGGACGCGGCGCCGGCGGCGGTCAGGAGCCAGACCCAGCGGGGGCCGGGCGCGCCCAGCGCCACGTCGACGGGTTTCGCGGCGAGGTTGACCGCCGCGACGGCGACCGCGCCGCCGCCGAGCGCCCCCGGCAGCGGGAGCCGCGGCGCCGCCCGCGCGCAGGCCGCGTAGGTCCGCAGGTCCCCCTGCCGGCCCGACCCTCCGGCGCCGGCGCTCGTCGACGCGTCGAGGACGACGTCGCCGAAGAGCTGGCGCCACAACACGGAGGAAAAGAGGTCGGGCCGCGCCGCGAACGTGCCGTCGGCCAGCAGCCCGTAGTTGCCCCCCACGAGCGCCTGGCGGAACACGGCGTCGTGGCCGTGGACCGCGAGCGTGCCGAGGTAGTCCAGCCACCAGAAGCCGGACGCGAACCTGGGCAGGAAAAGGGTGCGAAATTCCCAACTTTGGAGGTTCCCATCTCGGTCAGTTTCCACTCGTTTTGGCTGACTTTTGGACGGGCGATGATCTCTCGGAGCGCTCTCGAAGCGTGGAT